AACAGTTCATATAATCACAAGATTCAGGTTTTTGAGTGGCAAATGGTATGTCTCATCTCTGAAATCCCAACTCCTATTTTTTCTCATAACTCCACTCACTGTAATTTATGAATTTCCAACACTAATTCTCTGCTCATTCTATCAGTACTGCCAATTTATCAATCAATATGAAGATCATGTTATCACATGAAAATTATTTAATTTCATGTTTTTAAATATTAAGTAGAAGATTTATTGATCTTTTTAATCTTATTCCATTTCTTTTACTCGATGTAGGTGGATAGGAAAGAGGATTTACAGAATTCAGAAATGAACTCCAGCAACAAGAACCAAGACTCTACCTTCAGGTAATTAATTTTGTGAATTATAGTTGTGTTATTTGCAATTACCTTGGTATTATTTGAAACTATCCATTTCAATTGGAGCTAAGTTCCATTTCACTTTAGATTCCTAGACAAAACATGTTGTGAAGCAGAGTTATATCAGTCAGTATATCAGCTTATATGTTTATGTTTTACTATTATATCAAAGATAATTTCTATCTGTGATACGGAGTTAACAATCATTTGCATACACTTTGACACAAAATATTTCAATTGGTTATTATGCAGTCATCTTAGCCCACTTAAAGTATCAGGGAAGGCCATACAAGGATTACTGCAGCTAGAGGTTTCTCTTTAGGGTGTTCTAAAGGAACTTTGACCATAGAGAGTCATTGTACAATGTTCTCTTAAATGAGAGGTGTATCTTTTTATTATTGTTCCAATTTTTTTTATGTTTTGTGTTTGGCAAAACTTGAGACACAGTCATTGTACTATTCAATTTAATAGTGGATTTTCTTGCGGTTTTAGTCCTGTGTTTTTCCCCTCCACAGTGGAAGGTTTTCCACCTAAATTCTATGTTATATGCTATCTATATTTTTTATAGTGCCTAATACATTTATATGGCCGTCACTATCACTATACTCAAATGTAATTGGCTTGGTTGGAATCCGATGACCTGGGTTTCTATTCTAACTACTTTACCATGTATAGTCACATTCTTGCTCATAAACATTGTGTATTATTATATTTGACATGCTTGAATTCAATAAGTTAATTGAACTCATTTTCTTAAACAAGCTTACTTTTGAATTTGGAATTTGAACTTGGTTAGAACTTAGAACATAAAGCTCGACCAGAGTATAATTTTAATTTGAGCTGAAGCAAGGGGAATTTACTTCTTAGCAGAGTAAATGAACAATCTCCATGGACCACCCCCGTCTATAGTGGCAGATCTTCTCACGGGACAATGAGGGGGCTGACAATCTCACAATCTTTGTGGGGTTAAGGCATACAATCTGGAAAATAGGAAACTTTACACCTTTGAATTGTGTTTCCTTATTTTCTAAGTTGATCTTGCTTCAGAATTCAGACACTCTTTACTTATGTATGAAACGATTTTTGATGAATTCTAGTGATTGGAGAAATTGGCCTTTTTTTTTTCCCCTCTAATGATTTAGTACAACGTACAAACAGAATTCAGAATCCCCAGTCCTGTGTTTGGTTGCAGAATCTAAATCAAAGGCTTTTCTTTATCAGCAGAGAATAAACCAACTGTTCTATTTAGTTATTTCCTTTTACTTAAAGGAACATTTCTCTTCTCTCTTTCTTGTTTTTTTTTTTCTTTTTTTTTTTCACAAATAATTAGAGCTGATCTATGGTGTAGCTTCATAGTCTCATGATCAGGTATCTGACACAGTGTTTTCAATTTCTATGTAGTTTTTGTTACTTTTGAAGGATCAAAGCATATGTTCATACTGATTTAAAGCTCCCTGATGCTCCTACCCTGACATTCAGACAAAGTCTCAGCTTGATATAGGTGAAGGATTAATACTTTTCAAAGTACAAACCAAATAAAATTAGAAAAAAATCAGTCTTTACTCTAGATCTTGTAAAACATCAACAGTAGTTGTGCAAGATGGATCTTCTTCTTCTATCTTTTCAAGTATCCTTTACACTCCAGCATCTACAACCTTAGCAATAAAGTTCTCATCAACTAGGACATTGGCCGTTTGGAAGTTTCTATGTACCAAAGGAGGCTTTAGGCTGTACAGTTGGCATAGACCTGCACCAAGTAGACAGAATTTCTCTTAACCCCAATGAAAATTAGCATTTCCCTCATCAGATTCTTCTAGATTTAACTTTAGCTGCCCCTAGAGCTATGGTTAGCCTCTGCTTGAACTCTAGTCTAGTTGATGAGTCTAGTCCAGTATCTGAAAAACAATGGATGGATATATAAACTTTGCATTTACAACCATGCAGAAAAAACCAATTTTGTTAAAGGATTCATACTATATAGGTGATTGCAAATGCTGCCATTTGGTAAATACTCATAAACTATTTGTGATCCACTTCCTTGACAGTAGCCTAGAAGAGAAACTAAGTTTGGATGTCAAATCTTGAACAGATAGGTTACCTGTTTGTCAAATAAACATGTTACTTTCTTTCTGTTTTCAAATTTCTATAGCTAGAGAAAAGTAGTTAAATGTTTGGCATCTTTATCAAATTGATCCTATCATTCTTCTACAGAATGAACTGACCCCCATATCAAAAGTAGGAGAAATGATGGAAAGGAAAAGAATTCCTGATTAGACATAACATAGATACGTCAGAAACAAGTTCTGGTGTTGGACCTGAGCACCTGGTTGCCTTTTGATGGCTACAATAGTATAGCGAAGCAAACCTTTATATACTTGACTAAAGCTTCCATATCCAGTAAGGTTACTTCCATTGAATTTTCTTGTAGCTTGCTCCAACTCTTCCATAATGAACTGTTGTGGTCAATGTAGTGCAAATAAAGACTCACCATAAGATGAACTTTGTCCAGCCTCTCTGTTCCACTCCACCGCAATGTTGAGGCAGGAATCATTCAATATCCAACGGTAAAAAAATTGTGACGTTATTCATGAATTTCTGTTCAATGAACCATGCCTACTCAGAAGGATCTGAGGAACCTGTCACGGAATTCCTATTAGACAAGTTCTTGGACTGTGACTTGCAGAACCAAAAGAATCCAATGACTAATATCACAAAAGCAGCACTTCCAACTATGGTTGCTGTCTTTGACATCTCCTCTTTTGAACTTTAACATTGAAACTGTGATGTTGAAGAACATTAAAATGTCACATAAAAGAATTTAAACCAGATTTATTAACAAAAGGATGCAGAAAAATACATAAACAATCAAATTACAGAATCATGAAGTTGAAGAACAGATTTCATATACAGTATCACATCCATTCAATACGTGCAACAGGATTAATGGTCCTTATGACTGAAGTTCCTTTTATTTACATCTGCATTTTTACCAATGTGTACTCCGAGTGCTTCTGGTGCCAACAGGAATTCAGAATGGTAAACTGGGTGATCTTTAAGTATAGATGAAGGAGAAGAGACCATAAGACAGCTCATTTGCCTTCCCAAGCACCCCACTACTCTTATGTTGTCCAACATTCAGCATTTCTCATCAGAGAGAAAGTGGGAAGAAGCCATATATCACTCAAGAACATTCTGTCCTTGCAAACAAAGCCCTTCTTCTGTTTTCATTTTTTAGGATGAAAATCATGAAGATTCCTTTCTGACGCTTCGCGGATCTGAGAGTCGTTTTCCGCATCCTCGGTGGTGCGCCCACCTGGGCTCACCTCAGCTTTCTTCTTCTCTGCCAAATCATCTCCGTCTTTCGCTTCATCTTCCTTTCTCTTAATATCGCCTTTTCCGACTTCAATTTCAAAAACCCTAAAATGTCTACTGTGTTTTCTCCTACCCAATGTCTAGCCCTGAATCTTCGACCAATCTTCTTATCCAGAATCATCAATTTGGCAGTTCGTAGTTTCTTTTTCTTGCAATTTTACTCGAGTTACGTCGGCTCTTGAAATCGATGGACACCTCACCTGTGGAAATCTAAAGTGCTGAAGTATTAAAGCTTGGGTTTGGATGATCTGCATATTCATCAATTACAGGATGAATTGCTGGATTTTGAAGGTGACTTATCTATTAAAAAACTCTCTGACTTAATCTTGCTATTCTTGCATTGTGGTTTGTAGGATTAATTTGCAGATTTGGGTATTAGTGTTTTGCAGAGAAGATCATCCATCTCCATTATCCCTTTGTGTTTTTGGAGTTTGGTGCCTAAAGTGTGATGATTGTGGATCTAATTTTCAAATTGATTTTACGGTTTAGGTGTTCTGATGCTTTTGGTTGGTTTTGCCAAGTTTATCTTGGTTTGGAGAATTCTGTTACCTTTGTTTATGGCTTAGTTAGTACGGTAAAAAGCAGAAATAATCTAAAAATATTGCTATGTTATGTCACTGGTTTTATCTCCATTTTTGCTTTGTTAAGAGAAGAGGATGATATGAACAGAGGCACTGACGTAATGATCAAGGGGTAGGTGGTATGGAGTAGGCCATTGAAAGGGAAGTTGGTTGTGGGAGAAGTTCTTCAACGAGAAGTTGCTCGCTTTCCTCTCTTATGGATCTGCTTTTTCAAGCACTATCAGGGGGTACTGTTATTCAAGGGTCCCGATCAAACCTCTCTGTCTCATTGTAAGACTTTTGTAATGTTTAAATGTTAGTACTAAGTTTGTTTTCGGCCAAAAATAAGAATATTAATCAGATCCGTTCCTTTCCCATTGCAAAACATGTTCTTGTGGAGCAGAAAGTAGCATGGTACACACAATGGTGGATTTTATTTTTGGCTGATGGCATGGAATTATTCTATCCTTGTGTAAAATGATGCAGCTATTCTATTATATCTTTATATCAGCGTGTATGTTTAGGCAATAGCGCAGATGATTAGAAGATAAGTAGCTTCACCAAGCACAAGATGATTCTGATTCTGGTGTGATTTCTAGTTGCAAACAAATGGAAGAGAAGTAGATAATTCAGGTATGCTTTCTAGATATTTTTTTGTGTGTCTTAGCTATTGAGCAATTGAATTTGAGCAAGCTCTTATTATAAAACTGACTCACCTGCTGAAAAATTTGATCATACAGTGTGTTATTGGAGGTCCTCAATTTTAATGAGTTGGGAAGAAGTATTGCATCTCAGATATGTTCCTTGAAGCAAAACTGTCACCGGTAGATCTCAAAACCAATTTGGTATAAGTTAGCTAATGAATCCATAAAGACATCCTTGGGTAGAATTATATACCTCTCAGAATTGGGAAACTAAGCAATTATTTGAATGCTCTAGAGAAATTATTTCAATTGGTTATGCAGGACGAGTAACTCACTTCATGCATTAAGGGATGTACATACTGCAACAACAGGCAGCTTAAGACGAAGGTACTTTGACTGCAGAGAATCATTGAGTAACAATTGTGAGCTTGGAGTGTTTTTCATTTTTTCTTCAAATTGCTTTAGGTTTTAGGTCTCGCGAAGAACTTGAGAAACAGTTGCTGTAAAATTTATTTTAATAGTGGAATTTTTGCAGTTTTGTCCCATAGTTTTTCCTTCTACATTTGAGGGATTTCCACATAAATTTTGTATTCTCTTCTATTTAATTTTCCGTGGTATTTGAGATTTGTTTGGCTACCTTTGAGATCTCTACTTTAATTTATTATTGTTTGACTTGAAAAAGGGATCTGGAGTGGTCGAAATGGAAACATCAAAATTGATTGCCCTTTGTGACATATTAAATCCAAACCAGGACTAATCAGATTCTGTTCTTGGGCTAGCATCAGCTGCTGGTTGCTTTAAAGTAAGACTCACCTGGAATCATTTATAAAGGTAGAATGGTCAATGCTGTTATGGTTTTCAAATACCATACCCATAGTCCCCTCAATTGGATGACACTTGTTTACTGTGCAATGGTGATATGTAAAGTCCAGGATCACTTCTCCTATCTTTTTTACTGTAGCTAGACAAGCAGAGTTTGGCAAAGACATTTCTCACAAGGCATGTATACCATGCTTTGCTTTGTGGGTAAATTTGTTATCATGGTTTTGCAGGAAACTGAAAGAGAAAGTCAGTCTATAATGCTCATGTTAAGCATGATTGGGATGCGTCAACTCATCATATTTGGCAAGAAAGAAACACAAGGCTTCAGAAGAATTGTTCCAGATCAGAGTCTGAAGAAGATTTCATTCCCCATTGTCCGAATAACAAAAAAAGAAACAAGTTGCTGCTTTTTGAGTTGCGCCTGACAGTAGTAAGCTATTTCTTCTAAGCTGCGTAGATCAATAAAATTTGCTACATTTTATAAAAGGAAAAGGTAAAATGATTGAAAGGGAGAAGGTGAGGAAAAGGATTAAAGAGTAGAGAAAATTCCTGGACGAAAAGGTGAAGACTCGGAAAAAATTGGGGCTGCTTTCAAAACTGTTTGTGGCCGGCGTAAAATGTCATTATTAATTGTTGGTGATGATGAATCATAATGCTTCATATGAAATAATATATTTGTGTTTTTTTATCATCAACAGCAACTCCTTCAAAAATAAATCATCGAAGACAAATGGGAAATATTAGAATAAAAGGTTTAGTTTTTATTTTTTTTGGGTTTTGGTATTGGTAAAGGTTCTATCTTGAGTCATATTTTGTTAAATGGCAAAAATTTTTCTTTATCTTGTTGACCCAAACCTCATTAGAGAGACTTTTACATCAACAAACAACTACTACCTCATAATAAACCTTCTTTGAGAAATTAAAGAATTAAAACTATTTGTAAATAGGTACCTAATATCTTTTATTTTTAGTCATAAAGTATTATTTTGCTGATCGAGAGAAGCAAACAACATTATAAAAGTAAAATGCCACAACTTAACATTAAAAAAATTGATTCTCAACACTAAGTGACCATCTATCTATACATAATACCTTGCCTTCCTCTATTATATGCACTGCCATATTGGAAGCTATTTATGTAAGAGGTTATCTTTGGTGTGTTGTTAAGGTGTTTTGATCATTCAGAGAATTATTGTACAATGTATCTTAAATGAGAACTGTATTTTTTTATTGGTGTTCTCATTTTTTTTATGTTTTATGTTTGGAAAAAATTTGATAGACAATCATTGTACTATTCATTTTAATACTAGATTTTGTTGTAGTTTTTGTCTTGTGGTATTTCCCTTCGTAAGTTTTCTTCGTAAATTGTGTTCTTTACTCTCTATATTTTCTATGGTGCCTAATATGTTTATATAGTTGTCACTAATATATATATTTTCTATGGTGCCTAATATATATATATATTCTCTATATATGCAAGTTGAGGTTCTAGGTTGTCCTACTCTACAAGGAAATTCTATTGAGACTAGAATAGGATCTAAGATAAAAAAAAATATACATATTAATTACAATATACAATTGCTACTAATTACTGGAGAATTTTATATTCACAATAATGAAGATTAAGCTGTAAATTCAATTTCCTTAACAGTGTTTTTGGATTGGGAAAATTAGAAGGGAAGGGAAGGAGAATGAGGGGAGATGACTTCATCTTGTGTTTGAGTTACTTATTAATGGAGATGGAGGGAGATGAAATCCCATCAACTCTTTTGTTTTTTATTCCTCTAAATCAAGAGGATTGCAATAGATTTGCTTTACATATTTAATTTTTTTAATTTTTCTAAACA